TGTGTGTGTGTGTGTGTGTGTGTTTGTGTGTGTGTGTGTGTGTGTGTGTGTGTGTGTGTGTGTGTGTGTGTGTGTGTGTGTGTGGGTGTGTGTGTGCGTGAATGGGAGAATGACTCGTAGCATGTAAAGAGCTTTGAGGGGTCGACCTGATAAAGAGATCGACAGTAGTTTTCCCATTTCAAATGAAGACATGAATTAACGTTCACTCAGCTCTGAATGACGTCAGTCACATTTAAAAAGTGCTAGTTTCAATCAATCAATCATCAATCTCTATGAAGCAACTGTAGCTGTCCAATTAAAACTTTAATGGGATGAAAACTGGAAGGGTGACGCTCCGACGCTGCATCGATGCTTTCGGTCAAATCTAAACTGGGATGGAGAAAAACGATGACGCTTCAAGGAATGGAAATACTATTTGCCACGAAACGAGAAGTAAAACAGTGAAGCTATGTCACTTTTCACGGAACAAATATTAAATTTTTCCTCCTGCAAATCACACATTGAGTTTACATGCTGTAAATGGTACCATGTTCTCAGTTCAGTAAACTCAGGGTGACTTTATGCAGGCTTTGGTTAGCTCATGTTAGCATCTGGAGGTGGTTGATGCTATCCAATGGTTCATTCTGTGTTAGCATTATCCTGTCACATGTTCAGCAGAAGTTACAGAGCTTCACTTTAAACGTTACAATACTTTGGGTAAAGGCAAATATTAAGATTAATTTAAGCACTTCAGTGTTAAAGTTGGAGAAGCAACATGAATACGAATGAATGTATAAGTACCTAAGATAAATACGAATGTTAAATCAATGAAACACCGGGGTTAGTCACAGTAGTAATGGGCGCTGTAAACATGTGGAAGGAGTTTTTGGAGCGTTTGGTAGTTTGGTAGAAGAAGAACAAAAGTGCATTTGGAGAAAGAGGAATGTCGTCCTGAGATCCCACGTAGAAATATCTGTGGGATTGAAGACTTCTTGAGCAGCGCTGCCGTTACGATCGTATTAAACTGATTCCTTTGTTCTGACGCTTCTCAAATGGGAAAAGCAGATTTCCTTCGACGCAGTCCAACTTTCTGTCAGAGATGGAAAGAGTCCAAACTTAAAGCTCCCTAAACCAGCGAGGCACTTCTGGATCTGAAGGCATCTGGAAAGATCGTTTGAGCAGCAAGGAAACGCATGAAGAAAGGAAACAAAGGGGTTCAGATGAGGCTCTCTCTGTCGTGGGTCTGCATCAAGGCGTGGCTGATCATCTCAACGTTTCCCTGAACATTAGATTCTGGTTTATAATTGTCCTGCAGGCTTCTGATTGGCCCAGTTTTGTGTTAAGCTGGTAACTTTGCTGCGGTTCATTCAGCCGGTCTGAGTCTAAGTGGACCTGGTGGCTTAAAGTCACCCAGTTTGAATGTTAGCAGTCGATCAGTGGTTATCAGCCTGTCACAGATGGGGGTCAGAGGAGGCGTGCTTACCATCTATTCATATGGAAGATCACAACAGAAGGAATTCAACAAGACAACGCCAACTGAGTGATTAATAAAGTCACCATGGCAGAAGTCATGTGACCTAGTGTTAATAGTCACAGTCAAGAGTCTTTTAACTTGTTTTAGCTTCTACTGTATTACCATGTTGTTTTTAAACTCTCTTTTATTCATGTTTTTATGAATGTGTTATTCCATGATGTTTATTTATTGTGTTCCTTTCTCTTGTCTTCTTGTTAAGTGTTAATGTTGATGTCTCTGTGTCTGAAAATGTGCTTTGTAAATAAACGTACCTTATAGCGAGAAATTCGGGATACCCAACCCTAATTGATTTTAATTTTGTCGCCTAAACATCAAAATATTTTAGTCAAGAGAAGCTTTAGTGTGGTTAACATTCAAAGAGTTATGTTTTAATCATTTTTTCAAACATACTAGGAGCAGTTTGGCTCGTCTGATGCATTAGAAAATAGGTGATAACCAATAATAATAATAATAATAATAACGCTAATTGGCTGATAATATTCAAAATGGGTGTTTACAAATCATGGTTGGTTGGGAAAACTAGAGCTACAAGCTGAGAACTCAACGGAGATGCTCAGCATGTTCGAGATCCTGAAGTGTAACGTCCAGGATTCATTTTCAATATTCTAAAATGAGCTGGATGGACATGACATTGTGCGAGGCAGTGAGAATGAGGCAGTGAGAAGGAGGCAATATCATCGCTGTCAGATTTTGAGAAAAAGCCAGATTCTTTGAAAAAGTCAGAATTTTGAGGAAAAATACATAATTTTGAGATTTTCAGAAAAAAGTGAACATTTGGAGAAAAAACTCCTCCATCTTGTGACTGTGTAACTCCCTCTGAGAATTTTGAGATTTTGAGAAAAAGTCGAAATTGTGAGATTTTAAGAAAAAGTGAGAATTTTGAGAGAAAGTCAGATTTTGAGAAAAAAATTCAAAATTTTTTAGATTTTGAGAAACAAGTCCTAATTTTCAGATTTTGAGAAAAAAGTCGGAATCTTTAGAGAAAGTCAGAAAAAAAAGCCAAATTTTCGAAACAAAAAGTCAGTGTTTTGTACATGACAGGATGTACTGCTTTCTATTCCTCCATCTTGTGACTGTGGAACTCCCTCTCTTGGATATCAGCATGTGAAGGACACTGTTCAGGAACTAGTTGATGCTCTGTATGTGATGACTACTTCCATTCTGGAGAGGATCACAGATACATGGATCCTGAGATTGAAGCTCAAGCCGGGGACCAGAGATTATAAAAAAATGTAAGTATTCAGAACAAGTGAGAATTTTGAGATTTTGAGAAAAAGTGAGAATTTTGAGATTTTGAGAAAAAGTCAGATTTTTTTAGAAAAAGTCGGAATTTTGTGAAAGTCCGATTTTTCAGGGATTTTGAGAAAAAGTCAAACATTTTGGGAAAAAGTCAGAATTTTGCAAAAAAGTCAGAATTTGGGATATTTTGAGGAAAAAGTTAGGATTTTGAGAAAAAGTCAGAATGTTGAGAATTGTGTACATGACAGAATGTACTGCTTTCTATTCCTCCATCTTGTGACTGTGTAACTCCCTCTCTTGGATATCAGCATGTGAAGGACACTGTTCAGGAACTAGTTGATGCTCTGTATGTGATGACTCCTTCCATTCTGGAGAGGATCACAGATACATGGATCCTGAGAGTGAAGCTCAAGCTGGAGACCAGTGAGGGAGATTTTCTTAACATGTTCAGAGGCGGCAGGTCAAAGGTCGGTGGTGATGACGGGTGTGACTCCGTGGATGAGCAGCGTGGGGCCCAGGTCCTGAGTGAGCAGCTCCAGCTGGTGCAGGTAGGTGGTGTAGCGCCGCGTGTCAGCAGGGGGTCTGGGCAGGTACAGGAAGCGCACAGCAGGGGGGGGTCTCGCCGGGTCTAAGATCAGCTTATTAACGGCGGAGAGGTAGTCGTCTGAGAGGCGTGTGGCGTTACTCGGGAAGCTGTTAACGTAATCCTCTTCCTCCTCCTCGATCTTCTCTTCGTCTTCGTTGTTCGTGTCACTTTGCTGTTTCCTCTCGCCCTGCCGCTGCCAGTGTAGCGCCACCTGCTGGTCCCAGGGCACGGAGAGCACCTGAGAATAATAATAATAATAATCAATTTGATTTATAAGCGCACTTTTCATTCGAGTAAACAAAAGTGCTACAGAGTAAAAGGGTTGAAACAAAACAACAAAAACAAATAAAATAACGAAATAAAAGCAGCGATGTTTACGCCGGCATGGCAACAACAAGTGGGGTTTTACAAATCTAGTAAAAGGCTATTCTAAAAAGATGCGTTTTTGGAGTATATAATAAAGTCACCAAGGCAGAAGTCAGGTGGCTTCAGTGTGAATTCGGGAGACCCAACCCTAAAAGGATTTTACTTTGGTCGACTAAACAACAAAAAGTTGTAGTTTTGTCTAAACATACAACATACGGTTTCTTTCACTTTTTCAACATAGTAGGAGCAGTTTGGCTCGTCTGATGCTTTAGAAAAGAGGTGATAACTAATAATAATAATAATGGTTGGTTAGAAGCTGAGAACTCAACGGAGACGGTCAGGATTTGTTCGACTAGTCACGTTAAAGAATATTGAAAACAAGCGGTTTTCACTTGGAATAAGTCCAAAGATCTGCCAATAGGACACGTGGACATTTGCTTAGTAAGACTTCTTGAAATAAGATATTTAGATGAACCACATCTTGTGATTAGCTAGGAGAGCTATATTTTACCAAATCAGGAAATCTTGTGTTATAATATAAGCTGTATATATACAAGTGTTCTGTTGGTGATTTTCTAATAAATATGTAAAGAAAGATGTGTTTCATCTGAGATACAACTCGAAATACGATGTTTTGACTCAACAAGATGAAGCATTGTCTAAAAACAAGACCTGATGTCTCACTGCAGTGTGACTTCTGAAGTTATTATATCTTATATCAGGAGTAGAGACATATTCTGACTAGAAATTAGACAAAATATACTTGGCAAGATTTCGACTTTTTGTAGTGTACTAGTGTTTTTCTTTTTAGATGTTTTTAAATATGTTGAGGTTAGACGGAGCAGGGTGTACTTTGATCAGAGGTGTCTGTTGTCTGTGTTTGTTTTTTAGAGTGTGTCAGGATGTTTTCTTTTTATCTGCTAACTAAATCTACCTACGGGCACAAATAAAGACCCTGAACCTGATCCTTACGGCCCGTCCACACAGCGGCGTGCGTTGAAAGCTTCACTTTGAATGGGGTGACGTCACTTTTCGCCGAACTGCATTGTGGGAAGCGACGCGGAGCTTTGCTGACGTGGCTCGCTGCAAAAGTTGAGCAATGTTCAACTTTTGAAGCCTCAGCAGAAGCGTCAGCCAATCGAATCATATGCCAGTACAAGCTCTAGCCAATCAAACCGCTGCTTGTGTGTCAGGGGCGGGAGACTCATGTGATTGGTTGTTGGTCGAGTTTCAGACACGCCCGCCGGCAAGCTTCAACGCACGCCGCTGTGTGGACGGGCCGTTAAGTGCAATGTCCAGGATTCATTTTCAGGATTCTAAAATGAGCGTTTTTTGAGCCGTTTACCTGAGCTTTGATCCGCAGGTCTTTGAGGAGCTGACCCAGTTTCTCCTCCGATCCCCGGACGCTACGACCCTCCTCCACGCACAAAAAGAGACGAAGACGAGCTTTTCTCCACGACCTCACCATGTTGAGGATGCAGGCGAGCTGAAGCAGGAAAAAAGAGCATGTGTCGACGTAGCTAGAGCTGTCGGGGCGGAGGAGATTCACCGGCCACACGTCCACAAACACCGGAGAGGAAGGGGAGAGGACCACGGAGCGGTCGAAATCGTTGAAGTTTCGAGCCAACACGACGTTTTTGAGCATCTTCATGGCGTCTGCTATGATCGCGACGTACTCCTGAGGGCCGAGAACCTTCCCGTCGCCGATTTCCCCGCCGTCTTGTCGGTCAACGGACCCCCGAACGGAGGCGAAGTGGAAGAGAGGCGGCTCCTGGTCATGATCGAAGTCCTGTAAAGATCCCGTGGGGTCAGAGGTCGGACAGATGGAGAGAGACGGGTCGATGAGAGTGTCCTTTGGGAGAGAGTCGTCGTAGAAACCCAGGACGAGAGTGTTGGGACGCATCCCGCCTGAGAAGAGGGGAAGAAGGAGGAAAGAACAAATTAGACGAGAACTTTATTCACAAATTGAACATATTTAGAAAAGCTTGCCGCGGCAAATCAGGATTGTCCAATGACCTACATGTGCCAACATTAAAGTTAAAAAGATTCTATGATCACACACAATACCTCACAGACAGCAGTGGCTTTGATTATAATATCAGAACTAATTAGATCTTGTGTTGTTTGTGTGTCTGATCATGGAGACACTGACCTAGTCCTGAGATGAAGAGCAGATGTTGGACGCCATGACGCACAGAGTCGGCCAAAGTCAGATTGACAAAAGACTTGATGTTCAGATGATCCACCAGAGAGAGCCAGGAGTCGTACTGCGACTGCAGAGGGTCGGAGGGGAGAGTGTCTGGAGGAGGACAACACAAAGGAATCAGGTGAATATACTGGAGGTGAAGTATCACAGGATCAGAGAGGAAGGACAAGGTCAGGATGGGAGAAATGTGGAGAAAACTGCTATATATATATATTTGAGCAAAAAAGCAATGTTTCGATATTGCAGTCATATTGTTGGGTTGATTAAAAAGTGGTGACAATGTATTTTTTAGGCTGTGCTGGAAGGTAGTATCTCACTGGTTCCTTTGAGAAAAAGCCAATGGGATTTTTCCATTTAATTTTGGATTATTGAAGAAAATAAAATCTGTGACTAACAAACGTTTACATATTTTGTTCATCAGGATAATCTCCACATATTAACACCACTTTATGATTTCTGAAGTAAAAAGCTAAGTTGAGGCTATAAAGGAACTACAGCCCGGTCACATGACTTCACGTCACCACCGCTAAGCTAAAGGTGGCTAATGTTGGGCTATAAAGGAACTACAGCACGGTCACATGACTTCACGTCACCACCGCTAAGCTAAAGGTGGCTAATGTTGGGCTATAAAGGAACTACAGCACGGTCACATGACTTCACGTCACCACCGCTAAGCTAAAGGAGGCTAATGTTGGGCTATAAAGGAACTACAGCACGGTCACATGACTTCACGTCACCACCGCTAAGCTAAAGGAGGCTAATGTTGGGCTATAAAGGAACTACAGCACGGTCACATGACTTCACGTCACCACCGCTAAGCTAAGCTATGGAGAAAATCAATGTTTGGATATGGGGTGATAGTGTTGGGTGTA